GTGTGGTAGCAGCTCAGCCTAGCACTTCCTCTAATGGCTAATGCTTTTGTGGGAGGTTCTGAACTAGGGTTAAAAGACAAAAAGCTCTTCCCCCTCTCCCCTCCCCCAGTTCTAGTGTTGCTTCCTCTAGTTCTGACGTTCCCGTTGCTGTATCCCTAGATCCCGCCTTTGTTTTAAGCTCCAGAAGAAAGCCTTCCGGAGACTTTGTGACCTCACCCAGTTTCCAACATTCCAGATTGTCTTTGCTTTCTCCCCAGACTTTAAAATCAGTGTTCCCTTCTGAGTCAGCTAGGAGGCCGGAGGGAAACAGTGGGGCTTTCGAAGCTTATCAAAAGCAAACCTTGCTCTTTTGAAAAAGCATTTTCCAAAGCAACTTGGGGACAAAGTGGGGTTAAATTTTACAGAGATTGCTTACGAGCAAGAGTTAAGCGGCTAACAAGGCATGAAATCTTACGGAGAAGTAGGTAAAGCCAAAATTAAAAACTCCCTCCGGGTCAGCCCATTCTGCGACCCACCTCCTCCCCTCTGCGGCAGGGGGCTTTGCTGCAGTGGCACTGCCCACGTATCCTCAACCAAGAGACTCAGACCACGCCAGCCATGCCACGAAGTGTGTTTTATTTTCATTATTCATACAAATAATTTTCTATAATATTCCAGGGCAAACCGGAGAATTTGGCAGTCCGATTGGGGGGGTCCCTTCAGAGACCCACAGGCCGGTGGCATCGGCGCGGAGTGCCCAGGTTCACAGTGCAGCTTGTGGCTCGTGTCCATCTTGCAGGTGGCTCTTCCTCCACATCACGACTGGGGTCTCGAAGATGACGGGGGTAGGAAATCCTCCAGGATTTTAGGAAATTTCACTCCGCTTCTCCTGCTCAATGGCTGTGGAGAGCGGGAAGCGGGCGCTGGAGGGGAGCTGCAACCCCCACCCGCAACCGAGGTGCTTCCCAGTGTGGGCGAGGCACCCACGAGGTGTGGGGATTTAGAAGGAAGCTTGGGGCTGGGGAGAGACAAGGCGCTTTGTGAAACTGAAAGAGTGGCCGGGGCCGCCCAGACCGCGGGCAACGGCCGGGTGCGGGGTGGAGGAGAGGGTTTGCAAGGAAGAGCAGGGTGAGGGGCTGGACTGGGGCGCGGGAGACCGAGGCACACTCACTCTCTTTGGTCGGCAGGGTGTTCTTCTCCTGCGTCTCCGTTTTCTTCAGCTTGGCCTTATCGAAGCTGGCGATTTCCCCCATGTCTGGTTTGTCTGCCATTTTCTTAAAACAATCC